ACCCATCCCCACTCTGTTGCCATACCTATCCTCGCATACATAATTCATTATTTTTCTGCCATGCACAAGATTTATTATAAAAAATCTTTTTGAAAACAACTTTTTCGCTGACTAATTCATCACAAATTTATTTTTTATTTCCGATTTATTGTTTTTCCATTAACATTTTCCACTCCAATTTATAGTCTTTAACGTTGATTTTATTACTAATATGTTTACATGCACATGGTACAAGTTGCTGAATACATACTGATCCATTTAAAATTCTTGACGTTATGTTAAAATGGATATAATATCAAAGTACATGACGACCACAAAAAATCACAAAACAACCTTAAAATTTAATTATGAGAAAAGATTGAAAAATCCAACAAATTATTAAATTTTGAATGATTTAAGTCACGAACTATTTTTTAAATGAAAAAATCATTAAACTTTTTCATTTTAGGATGATTAGATCCTAAACTATTTTTTTGAATAAAAAAACGATTAAAATTTCTTATTTTGAATGATTATATTTCTAAATATTTTTTTTAAATAAATAATGTAAAACCCCAATTTCAAGGGTTTCATATGAATAAGAAGATTTAAGGGTTATATGCACATGATTAGCCCCGAAAGTTTAATCTAGGGGCTTAAGCATATGGAGTTATGATTTGGTTCAAATTAGGACGTGCCGAGAAGTTTGAGAAAATTGGGAGAAAATCGGGGGAGAGCAATTAGGTAAAGTTTGGTATGCAGACATGATTGTATAGGATAGGATAAGACAAAATTGGATATGGCAAGATGATAGGACTGGACAGGACAAGTGTTTGTCTAGTGTTTGGTACTACTAGAACTGGACATGACAAATGTCTATCTGATGTTTGGTACGACAGTCGTACTGGACATGGCATAACTATATAAGTTGCTACTAAAAGTTATTTTATGATCTTATATATCATATCATAGTTATCGTTATCGTTAGCACTTGTAATAATTAATCGACGATAATAAAGGAAATAAAACGAGAACACCAAGATTTTACGTGGAAAAACCCTTGCGGGAAAAAACCACAGGCACAACCGATGATATCACTATATGAGAAAAATGAGGAAGTTACAAGAGTTTATAAGTATCTCAATCTTTCTATCGTCTCTTCTCTGGCTCTCCTTCAATACTACTTTTTTTCTTATGAATGAATGGAAAATATATATATTTGAAGGTAAAACAACTATTCTCCATGAATTGAGATAATAACCGAAATATTAGAAGACTTTTGTCTTCCCCTATTAATTGCTTCCGATTAGTCTTCCAGAATTTATGCCAAAATGCAGTTACCATTCTGGAGGAAATACGTATCATTCTCAACAAGCACTAATAAAGTAAATAGTTTAATTTATAAACATTTACACAATTTTCATATACATAAATATAAAATAATACCAAATTTAAATGAGATTTTTATATAATGGATGAAATTTTGAAAAAACCCGAGTCATACAAAAGATAAATTATATTTTACTTGGTTTGAAGATCCTTATCAATTGGTGAAGCCCCGGTAAAAATTTGTTGCAACAACAATGGTTGTGGAGGTAGAAGCATTGGTAATTGGTGGACGTGAAGATGGTGGTGTTGGCGGTCGACACTCGTGGAGGAGGTAGGTATAGCATGTGGTGGAGCTAGGTGTGATGGTGCACAATGATGGTGGTTATGGTGGAGGTGGTGGTGGAAATGGACAATTGTGATTGTGGAGGACATGAATATGGTATATCGTGGTAGTGGTAGCCGATAGTAGTAGTGATAGCCGGTGGTGGTGGTGGATAGTGGTAGTGGTAGTGGATGGTGGTGGTTATAGTGGAGGTGAGGTGGCCACGATGGTGGCGATGAACGTTGTTGGTTGGTGGATGACGACGGTTGTGGAGGTGGTGGAGGAGGTTGTAGTAAAAGAGAAGGTGAAGGTGACCAATGGTGGTAGTGGTGGTGGCAATGGACGGTGGTGATCAGTGGTCGACGATGGTTGTGGAGGTGGTGGAGGAGGTTGTTGTAGTAGAAGAGAAGGTGGTGGTGGTCTGCGGTGGTAATGACGATGGACGATGGTGGTAGGTGGGCGTGGTGATAGATGATGGTAGTCGGTAGTCGACGGTAGTTGTGGAGGTGGTGGAGGAGAGGGAGGTCCCCGACGGTGGCTACCGGTGGTGGCGGCGGCGACCACTAAAACAAATACCATGTTAATGTTATATATCAAACAATGGTTAGTTAGTAATATCTTAGTTTTTGTCTTATTTTTGTTCAATATATTTTGGTGGAAAAAGTCTTTTTTCCCACATTGTCCCAGTTCTTGCCCCTGTCCCATGTTGCACCAAACGTGGGACAATGAGTTCTTGTCCAATCTCATGTTGTGCCAAACGTGGGACAAGAAGTTTTGTCCCGTACTATCTTATCCTGTCTCATATACCAAACAATCAAACATAGCCTTAGGGAAGAGAGCAATCAATAAGGGAGAGAGAGAGGATGTAGAGAGAAAATGAAGGAACGAGAAGGAGAAGCAAGAAAGAAGTCTTCGAGAGAAGCAGACGGAAGAAAGAGAAGGAAGAAGTTACAAAGCAGGGAAGCAGAAAGAGTTTACTGGAGTTGTCAAATTCGACAATCCACATTATGAATCTGATGCTAATTCGTTCAAACTCCCCACCTTGAGTGATAGAGGTTTATATATAAGATTATCATCTTATGTTGAAGCTTTGCATTAGAATTAGTCGTTGGTCTCAATCGAAATGGGTCTTATGGAAGGTTTTATATAATTGACCTAAGGTTAATGAAGAGTATTGGTTGGTATCCTTTTTTGTGGTTTTGTCGATGATTCCATAGGTTTAGTTTGTGGTGTTGGCATTACATTTGTATATATATATATATATAAAATAATGGTAGAATTCCAAGCCACTAAAGTGTGGTTTCTGCATGCAAATATGCAGATGCTTGGTAACCATTAATGTAAATGGTTAAATTTAGATTAATTACTTAAATTTCTAGAATGGATGCATGCAGTGCTGTGTGTGTATAGGTATATGCTTAACCTTATAACTCCAAAAAGTGGCAGTAGTGTGGAACCGTGATCAACACCAAAGAATTTGGTGTTTGGTGTAAGAGTGTGCAGCGAGAGTAACATAAAAGTTTAGGTGCAATGCTTGTTGTTACAAGTTGCTACCCTGCAGTGATACAACCGCCATAGAGGGTCAATAACTCTAACCATGGCTGCAGCAGCAGTGACCTAAATACAATAGTTGTAAGAGGTCCGTGAGCACGTTTTGGGGCTGCACCAGTAGCAGATGTGAAGCAGTCTTCGGACTGACTTCTACCCAAGTTCGAGACCGTCTGAAAAGGTATCATTAGCTTATAAAATTTCTTTGAGGGGACGGTAACATGGAGGGAATATTTAAACTCATAAATGTTGTCGTTCAAACAATTTTTTTAAAACAAAAATAAGCTTCATGTGTATGCATGAACGTTGTTAGAAAGAGAATGGAGACTTATCAATTGTTGTGATTCGTGTAGGTTGGGTCACGAGTAACACCGAAACACCTCTGTACCAAGGTGAGTTCCACAACCCCCTTTGTAATGTATGTATAAGATAATGTATTACGGAATTGTGAGTTATGTTTATATATGCAAGCTTATTTATTTGCCATGTTATTATGGAATTGTAAAAGTGAGAATGCTTATGCATTTGACGGTGTGGTGTGTGCAAGGGACAATACGCCCAAGGGGTGAAAACCCGTAAGTGAGGACCGACGTTGTCATGTCAAAAGTGAGATAAGACCACTTGGTTAGCAAAAATATTTGTGAATGCATGAGAAATGTTGTAAGCTCTTCGTGCAAGTTTGAACTTAAGTATTGTAGTTTATAAATGAGTGTTTGATGTTTAATGTTTAATGTTTAATGTGAGAATCTATATAATGTTATAGCGTGTATTGCTTAAGTTTATGCTTAAGTCGTGGGTTCACTGAACTATTCAGCTGACGAGAGCTGTGCATCACAGGAGTGGGATTCTTGAACTATTCAGCTGACGAGAGCTGTGCATCACAGGAGTGGAATTCTTCGGATGTGGTACAAGCAAGGAATATGACTAGTTAAAAGTAGACACTCGTAGCAACTCTTCCACATATGCTATAATCGAAATAATTTAAGGCAGTGTAAGAAACTGTCAAGCCTTGGTGCTTGTTTTGTATTTACTTTCCCATTGTTAGCCAAACCAATTTTTGTTATCTATTACTCGATGATGTTAAGCTTCATTTTCTTTGTAAGTTGAGGAAGATGTAATAATTCTCTAAAGTGAACTTTAGGGTGTTATAAATAAGCCATCGAACTTCTAAAAATTGGTTATATGTATCTTTTAATTAAAAAAATTGCATGTAACTGACTAGTAATCTTTTAAATCAAGAATAAATCTAAATCAGTTTTACTGTGACGTCCAAATCCTACGCCATTAAAATCCTTTGCAAACAACGGTATTGCTCTTCCTTGCCACTCCCTTTGTCCCAACGATGTTCGTTTTCCATATCGTCTAACACGTTTTTGACCCTTTCATTGATCTCCCTCTTTTTTATTCATCTTTCATCTTTCAAAAGATAACCGGTTACAAGTAACTTTTTTTAGGTTAAAATAATGTATGTAACCAATTTTAAAAAATTCAATGGTTTAATTTATTAAAAAAATGTTAAAGGAACTTAATCATCCAAAATGAGAAAATTTAATTGTTTTTCTTTCAAAAAAAAATAAAAATTAATGGTTTTTTCATTCAAATAAATAGTTCACGGATTTAATTATTCAAAATAAAAAAGTTTAATGTTTTTTTATTCAAAAAATTGTTCAATACTCAATTATTAAAAATTTAAGCAAACATAAACCCAGATTCACCCATCGTTAGACACTTTTTAAAAATGTTTAAAGACGTGCATGGTATCCCATATTTCAAAAAAGATTCAAACTCACACCTTAAACGTTATGAAACTTATTTGATGTCGTTGAACCAAAAGCTTCTTGATCATCATGTACACACTTAGGAGTTAGGGCTATACGGTTCCTATATCATGCGCGTTAATTTACAATTGCCGATCACCACCAGTGACGTTATGACCATCTTTTAGGTATGAATTTCACTGTTACAGTCGGATTGTTTAGCACAAGAAAAGTAATGGTGAGTGTTCGTGGACGAGTCTCTCTCTTCTCCATAGCTCTCAATCATGTCAGTTCCACTATCCTCCTTTGCATTCATTGTGCTCATAGCTTCCTTAGCTTCAAGGGGAAGTGTGTCACTCTTATCCAAGCCATAATGACCTGTGGAAAAGACCGTACTCTCTTCCAAAATTGACCTACTTGCATTAACTTCAAGGATCGCAAGGAATACAACCGCTGCGACAAGCATTAGAAACACATTTTTCATGGTCATTTTATCCTGAAAAGAGATAGACGAGTAAGCTTTCTTTGTTCTTAACGCATGTAAAAATATATCCAAGACCAGACACAAATTTCAAATATTGTGTTTTAATTAGGTTTTTTACACCGATTTACGCCTCAGTAAAATAAACAGTTACGTACATGTTGTATATGTAATACATAGATACGCATGTATGTAAAATAAAACGTTAAGATGGTAGGATTTAGCAAGCAATGGAAGCTGCAAAAAGCAAGGGTTTTCAAGTATGGCTTTCTCTTTGTATGTATGGGTGTGGTAAAAGTTTAGCACCAAGAGTTGGATTTATAGGGGAGGAAGGGTTGATATATGGATTTGAAAGGTGTATAGTGGGTTAATTAGTGGTATATTTGTTGTGGAGGTCCTGCCCATTAAGTAAAATAATCTTATATATATTAAAGAAGAAACCACGTCCAGTGACGTGGCCTCTCCTAAGGCCTGAAAACTGATTTCTTTGCTCTCTCCTTTTCTCAAGCTTATTAGTTAATATTTACTTAAAACCTTTCAATATTCACCGGCTTTCTTTTCCGTTTCCGTTTCCGTTTCGTCTCCATTTCCTTTTCCCTCCACCCTCTCCTTCAAGATAGGGTTTTTGTTATCTCCCCATATTCTCTCCATCTTTTTCTGGTTTTGATTTCAGTTTCAATTTCAATTTCAGACAAACCCTTCATATCTTTCATCGACGATTAAACCTAATTTCTTCTTCAATCTGTAGCCTGATTTTATTGATACGTGCATTGAATGCCGATAGGCATCCATTGATACCCCATAACCATTTGGTAGTTTTCTTCTTCATGTTGTTAAGTTCCTTCCTTCAATGGGCGTTGATAATGGCGGCCATTAAGATTATGATTTGGCCTCATGTTTTGCACTCTTCCTATTTCCAATTATTTCTCCTGATTATATGTTGATTGTTGATTATTTGTTGGTTTTTCAGATCGGATTCTTTGGGGCTCCGGAATACRTGATTAGTTGCTCATTTTCTATTGAATTTATCAAGTATTCTGCAAAGGTACGATGATCTCCATTGTTAAACATAAGTGTTCCTTTTCTATTTCTATGAAAAATTGTGCAGCTTCTGTATCTGTACTGAGTTGACTCATTTGTATATGTCTATAGACACTAAATTCAAGTGCAAAATCATGGCTGAATTCATGTGCTGAATTCAATCCTTCATTTGTTTGAGATGGAATTAATGTCTGTATTTCGTTTATCCGGGTATGGCCAGAAGTGGGTTTCTTCTCCGCCATAGTTGTCATGGTTCCCGCCTATCGACACATCAATTCCTAAACCCTAGCTTTCTCTGGCTTTCTTTCTCTCTTTTTCTTCCCCCTTTTTGTTACTTCTGGTAAGTAATTAAAGAAAAGAATACATATTTTCCCCTTCAATTTTGTAATGCTAAAATAGACTATGGTTAATCACTGTTTTAATCGGAAGGCATCTGGATGGTGATTTTTCTTTGATTTTTTTTTCGTTATTGAATTTGATTCAGGAAAGAAAAAGATTGGGTCTTTTTGAGGGTTTGAATACATGTCCTTCAATCAACCAAGGGGTGATAAGAATGAGCCGTCACAGCACAGAAAATTGGGTCGATCTGGTAACGCTGCCTTGCAAAGGAACTACTCCGGGGGTGGCGGGAAGGGCGGCGGCGGCGGAGGAGGTAGTACCACCGCCCCACCATCCTCCTCTTCATCTTCTTCTAATATGGTTAGATTATGTAATGATTTCGAATAATTTTTCTTCATTTTGCTTTGGATTTGTAATTGTTTCGTGTTAGTATTTTTCAAATTGATATGCAATTTGTAGAGAAAAACATGGAAGATTAAAGTGATTGAGAACTGTACCGAGAACTACTAAATAACTGGAAGCCTAAAATCGTCTTCTCTGGTTCCATCTTCTTCACCTTTTTAGAGCTTTTTACTTGCAGATCAACATCGTTCCCGGTGTCCCCTCATCATTCAATCAGCTAATTTTCTGATTCGCGATTATGGATCGTTAATGCTTCGCCAAATTCATAATCAAACATTCAAACGTTTGATTCAGTTGAACTAATCGTTCCTGTCTTTTCTACATGTTGTTTATGACATTCTTGCGCTTTTGATCGTGTTGTATTTGGTAATTTAAGTATGTATCCGCTTTTGGTTGTGTTATTTGCTAATCATCTTTGTTTATCTTCCCTGTATATATTATATGATATTTCGTGTATTAATGCACTTGTGGATACACTGTTACTACTTTATATGCGTAATCCTTATTACTGAATGAAATGAAAAGTTGTTGTCTTCAAGAATATTGTGATGATTTTAACTCTGCATTACTTCTCCATGTGATGAATTTTTTAAAACATCACATCTTTATTTTGCTTCAGACACTAATTTACACCCGAAATTCTGAACTGATAATGTTTTCATATTTTGGTTTCTATACTTCTCCAGGGTACTCTTTAATCTATTTCAGCTTTATAATGTTTAGTCATGTAGTAGAAGCTATGGACATACTCCTTTGTTTATTACATGTGCACAGCTAACTGCGATGTGAGAACAGGGTATATTTAGATTTTAACCACTTGATAATATCTGTAACAGGTTTTCAGGTCACGAGACTACAATGCGGTTCTTTACTGTCTTAGACAGGTATTGGATCTTTTTCTTAATTGTAATATGTTCTTCTTAGTGCACCCTATATTTAATGGTGTTTTTGATCGTGGAATCTGTTGGCAGTTATTTGAAAAGGTTGAGGTGGACATATTTGTGTAAAATATGATATCACTGTTATAACTTGTGTGATTGTGTAATTGCTTATTTCACAATGAAGATAAGAGATTCTTCAACTCATAAAGTAAACAATCCCTGCTTTTTGTTCTGGGTCGATATTATTAACCTAATATTTAAAGAAATTT